TCATGCTACTCCCATTTGGCCTGCAAAGTTTCCACTGAAAATTGCTGATAGTATTATGGGATTCCTGTATCTAACAAGTGTTCTTTTTTTTGTTTTTTTTCCCTTGTTTAAGATTCTTCCTTGTCTTTAGTTTTTGACACTTTAAGTATAATGTGTCCTGGTTTGGGTTTCTCTGTGTTCACCCTATTTGGAAAACGTTAGACTTCCTGGATCTACACATCTATTTCCCTCCCCAGGTTTAGGGGAGTTTTCAGCTTATTTATTACTCAGATTATTTATTTAAATAAATTTTCTGCCCTTTACTCCATCTCTCCTTTTGGAAATCCTATAATGAAAATATTGCTCCTCTTATTTTGTCCCATAAGGCCTTAAAATATCTTCACTCTTTTTCATATTTTCCTTTGTGCAACTCTGTTTGATAAATTTGTCTGTCTTATTTTCAGTTTGCTGATCTATTCTTCCATTTCATATCATCCATTGTTGAAATCCTTTATTTTCTAGCTCAGTTATTGTATCCATCAGCTATGTGACTTCTGTTTATAAAGTCTTATATTTTCTATCTTTTGTTGAAACTCTCAGTTTGTTCATGCATTATTCTCTTGACCTTGATAAGCATCATTACGATGATTATTTTGAACTCTTTATCAGGTAAATAATTTCATTAAGGTCCCATTTCATTAAGGTCTTTTCTGAGGGATTTTCTTGTTCTCTCATTTGGAAAACATTGCTCTGTTATTTCACTTTCCTGGACTCTCTGTGCTGGCTTCTAGTCCTTCTCTTTCCCAGTCATGAAAAACTGGTTTTGTGTGGAAGATGAAACTTTGTATTCAACCTTGACCTTTCTTGGTTCTTTTCCAAACCTCTTTGGTTGTCCATTTAGCCTACTTTGTTTTTCGTGGCTACCAATAGTTCAGGGTTGCCAAGACTCATCAGGGTCCCAAGTGAGAGGACCTCAGGTAACACATTCAGGATGAATGAATGGTTGCGAGGTTTGCAAGCAGCAACTTTTAAACTGAGTAGATTTACCTCTTCCAGCAAAAGATTGGGATGGACATTTCTTCTTGTCCTTTCTGCACTTATCCCTGGGATAACAGACAATTAAGAATTCTTTCCTTGTTTGCTATCCTCATGGTGATCCCATGAACATAAGCTGCACTGGCCACCAGAGCCAGGTTACCAAGTGATGTGTCTTCTGGGCAGTAGCCACAAAAGCTGGAGTGCCTGGCATGCGCACAAGCTCCTTTTTGGAGATACCAGTGACCTGGGGCGAGGTAAAGAGAGAGAGCTCAAAAACAGTACAGGTCAAGAAGCAACAGTTAGAACTGGACATGGAACAACTGGACTGGTTCCAAATCGGGAAAGGAGTACATCAAGGCTGTGTATTGTCACCCTGCTTATTTCACTTATATGCAGAGGACATCATGAGAAATGCTGGGTTGGATGAAGCAGAAGCTGGAATCAAGATTGCTGGGAGAAATATCAATAACCTCAGATACACAGATGACACCACCCTTATGGTAGAAAGCAAAGAACTAAAAAGCCTCTTGATGAAAGTGAAAGAGGAGAGTGAAAAAGTTGGCTTAAAGCTCAACGTTCAAAAAACTAAGATCATGGCATTTGGTCCCATCACTTCATGGCAAATAGACGGGGAAACAGTGGAAACAGTGATGGACTTTATTTTTTTGGGCTCCAAAATCACTGCAGATGGTGATTGTAGCCTTGAAATTAAAAGACACTTGCTCCCTGGAAGAAAAGTTATGACCAACCTAGACAGCATATTAAAAAGCAGAGATATTACTTTGCCAACAAAGGTCCATTTAGTCAAAGCTATCATTTTTCCAGTAGTCATGTCTGGATGCGAGAGTTGGACTATAAAGAAAGCTGAGTGTCGAAGAATTGATGCTTTTGAACTGTGATGTTGGGGAAGACTCTTGAGAGTCCCTTGGACAGCAAGGAGATCAAACCAGTCAATCCTAAAGGAAATCAGTCCTAAATATTCATTGGAAGGACTGATGCTGAAGCTGAAACTCCAATACTTTGGCCACCTGATGCGAAGAGATGACTCATTTGAAAAGACCCTTATGTTGGGAAAGATTGAAGGCAGGAGGAGATGGGGACAACAGAGGATAAGATGGTTGGATGCCATTACTAACTCAATGGACATGAGTTTGAGTAAACTCTGGGAAGGGATGATGAACAGGGAGGCCTGGCGTGCTACAGTTCATGGGGTTGCAAAAAGTCAGACATAACTGAGTGACTGAACTGAACCTAGCCTCCCTGATCTCCAGAAAGGATCTAAATTGGCTCCTAAATACATGCCTGCATTTCAGATGACAGCTACAAAGATAAGGCAATAGTTCTCTTTCATGGAATGACTTGGCATTTCTGTCTGCTGCTTCCGTGCTGTGTTCTGGTTGGGGGGAAGATGATTAAGAAATCTTTCTGTTACAGTCCTGTGGGACCTGCTAATGTAACTGGCTTACCAGAGTCAAGATGATCAGCATGCCTGGATGGCTTCTGTAAAAACCAGGATTCCAGATGTATGAACAAGCTCCTTTCCAGGTGATACTGGAGACCTGGGGTAGGTCAGAGGGAGAGTTCAGAAATAGTGCCTACCAGTTTCCATCACCTTTGGAGAATATTTCATTTAGCCTATAGATGTGGATTAAATTAGAGGCCTATCCTTTAGGCCAAAGTTTTAAGATACGCAGATGGGCCTCTTTCACAGAAATTCTGGACTCTTCAGTTGAGTGCTGTCTTGAAGGTGGCCACAGGAAGTTTATGCAAACCTTTAAAATACTGTTTCTTCATTTCCTATGGTTTTGTGGGTCTTGTAGTCACAAGCCCTGTTAATTTTCAAAGTTAGATGTTTTGAAGACCTCTGAGGTACAGATCTTAAAAGTTTGGGTGCCAAAGGTGAGGTTCAAGCCTTACTTCTCAGAATCTGAGGGACGTTCTCCCTGCTGTGGAAGACTGCACAGAGGTGGAACTTAGAGAGAGGTTGTGTCTCAGCCTCTCCTACCTATTTTGATGTGCATTTTTTTCTTGTGTGCCTGATGTATAGGAGTCACTGAGCTAGTTTTTGGATTTCTTGTGGAAGATTGTTCCATAGGGAGCTGTAGATTTGGCATGTTTGTGGGAGCAGGTAAGTTCAGAATTCTCCTATCTGGCCATCTTGAACCAGAATCCCTTTAACATTTATTGTTAATGTCTACCTTAGGCAAAAAATAATTTCATTATCTCATTTTGTGGGTCACACAACTGAGGCGGAGAGAATTTAGCATCTTTGCACAGGATCACACAGGCAATAAAGGGCGTAGCTAGGATTTGATCTCTGACGCAGGATCTCTTGGGCTACCAGGAAGCCTTCTGAAGCTTTTTAGTCTAAGTGAAGTAGTGAAAGGACAACTCTAGGAGCTGTTCCCTCAACCACAATATTGACATCAACTATTCTCTTTTCATTGAATTCTTTCATGTAAAACCATGGTCCCATTGAAGAAAATCAATTAGTGTTAAACTGATTAGCAAAAGCAAAAGCCCCAATATAAGTAAAAACATTCTCTAACTTGCTCACTGTATCATATTTCTAAGATTTCTGTTTTCTCAGGCCACCCGGTTCATTTACACTTTAGTGTTTGCAGTGTTACACAGTGGTTTGTTCTGATGTCAGCTAAGCTTTCAGTATGCCGGCAGAGCTAGTCTGTGTAATCATGCTTGTCTCCATTGCACAGTGTAACCAATGGTGTTGAGCATGTGGGGAAGGATTCCTTTTCTCTATCGGTGGTTTCAGCTGTCAGCCTCTAAAACAGTGACATGGGGAAGCTGTTATTAAAGCTGTCTTTGTCAAATCATGGGCTCTTCAGAAGGGAATAAGTCTACAGCAGTCAACATTTCAGGCTCTTGAACACTTTATTTGTTATAAATACAAGTCAATACCACAAGATGGCACCTTCTTACTTCTCAACATCTACGATTACAAACATTCATCTTCATAAAATGGTTTCAGCTCTTTCATGTGTTGTTTTAGATATTATTGAAACCTTATAAAAGCCAGACTTGCTACAAACAGGATCGGTGTTCGATGTATATTAAATGAGGTCAGATAATTAAATTCAAAAAAAGAATTTATAAATATTCAGATAAGAAAATTGAAATTACAAAAGCAGAGTTTTGTCATCATTAAACTGAATTACAACTGTGTGTGGCTAATGCTATATCTACATGGTAAAGTTTTTGTTAAAATACAGTTTTAGTAATTAAATAATTTACCTCTTTTTTCCAATATAACCTCTGGTTTCATTTGTACACCCTAACATTCAATACACATCTCATTCAAAACCACCTAGCTTTCATCTAGTCCAGCAATTACACACATTTTGTTTGATTTCGATAGATGCAACCCATGAAGTGCCATAATCCTCCTGGCTACAAAACAAAATGCAATCTGCAAAGGTAAAAACTCAGAATTTCTGAAATGGTAACCCATTCTCTCTGTGTTCATGAAAATAGGCAATCAAATTTGAAAGTCTTTGAACCAATGTAAATTCTAGAAAACTCAGTGTTGAAGTATGGGAAGAATAAGGATTTGCACTAATATAGTGCATAAGAATGCGGTGTCAGACTGATCATTTACAGTAAAAGCCTTGGCCTCTGGATTGTCATCATGCTGCTGAGGATAAAATTTACTTAAGTCTGTGGGAATTCCATCATGTTTTCTTCCTCCCATTTTCAAACAGGAAGAGAAGGGTTTTCAGGTCTCTTGGAAAAATAAAAAAACATTAAACACTCACACCCACAAACAACTGGAAAGCAAAATGGCAGACCTAATAATCCTTGACTCCATGTCCAAATGAAGTTGAGGCAATATTACTTTTGCAGTATTTGTATTCTGCCCAGTATATCACACCATGAGATTCCTCAAAAAACTGAGAAGTCTGAGAGCTACAAAATAGAAAGCGGTTAAGGCAGTTGATGTCTACATTTGGATTTCTTTTTTCAGGTTACATGTCTAAGTCTCCATCGTAGGCTAAGGTCAGAGGCTTCTGTTGGGGAGGTGTGCTTTGATGTGGTTTTGGCTTCTTGCTGTAAAGGGAAAAGAATTCTTGAGATGAAGAAAGTTCACAGAGCTCTGTTTCATCTGCCAAAGAAAACTGTGAGGTACAGAGATCCAAGTGGTTAGACAAAAGACTGATTTTTCTGGGCTGGAGGGTTCCTTTTTGGAATACTGGTGTACTTTAACCCTTAAACCAGGAGAAGCCTTTTTTTCCCAAAAAAATCTTAAAAATAGTTTAGTGGAAACAATGAACTTGGTAAAGGGCCACTTTCCTTTGTTTATATGCTATAATGTGAACATCTGCTGCTCACTAATTCCTAAGCTACTAAGACCCCCACAGCGCAGATGTTTTAACATCATAAGTAGCTAGAACAGCCAGATTCTCTTGCTTTACTCTGTTGCTGTTTTTAAGTAAACACACTTCTGCTCTGGCTTGAATCCTGGCATCTAGCTGCCAAGTCACCAGAGTCTGTCAGGAGAATTTCAGTGATGTTGTACCAGGCAAAACCATTCTCTTCCGGTCTCTGTGCTCCCTGAGTTTGACATCTTTGCCAGGTTAGAGAGGGCTGTTCTTGCTTCTCACAGAGGGAGAAGCTGAAACTGAGTTACATTCCCCACACTCTCAGTGAGGTCCCAGATCTGCGGCAAACCATGCTTCATCATGCCTTTTGATTCTCAGTGTGGGTGAATATCAACTAATGGGTATTTACAGTTTAATTCTGCTGCACACTGCCTTCCCTACCATCATCCTGTCTCCCTTCTGACCTCAGTGTCCAGGCTTTGCCATGCCTTCAGAGCCCAACTGTCTTTGGGTTGTCCTCACCAAGAGGGAGCCACCTCTGGCTTTGTCTCAAGATTTCTATGTATTTATTTTATTGCAGCATGTTATTAATTGGATGCACATACTAAGTGCCAAACCCTGGGCTGAGCACTTAACACCTCAATAAATCCCAGGCCAAAAGTGAGAGGAGGCGGCACTGGGATTATCATCACTCGACAGGGAAGGACTAGAGAGGTTACTGCCTTCCTCAAGTCACTGAATGAGTGGCAGAGCCTAGAATCCAAATGCATCTAGTACACACAGGAAAAACACTTTTAACCCTTCAGTGCATTCTCCTTGTATCCACATTATTAATTAGGCACTTGGTGGAAACAACTCTTTTGTCTGTACATATAATTAATTTTTAATATTTTGAGTGAATGTAAATTAAAAGCAAATATTTTAATCTGTACAACTGAGTGGCATTTTGAACATTATGTTGCAACGTTGCATAATCATTACCCGAAAGGGAAACTCTTCCCACGAAGCAGTCTACACTTTGGAACAGGTAGCCTTTGGGACACTTTCTTTCCAAATACCATTCTTTAAGGCAACTCTGAGAAACCAGCATTTATCCAAAGGAGAAGACTAGTGTAATGCTTTATATAAGGCTATATATTTTACAAAATGCAACGTATTGTAAAGGGAGTAATTAGGAACCGTTATCGACTCAATATTTGCATTACCCTTCCCTCAATCATATGTTGAAATCTTAACCCTTAATGTGATGGTATTTGGAGGTGGGGGCCTTTGGAAGGTGATAAGGCATTCTCTACCCCTGGCAACCACCTATCAAATTTCTGCTTCTGTAAATTTGCCTATTCTGGATATTTCCTATGGAATCATACTGTATGTGTGGCTTTTTGTGTCTGGCTTTTTTTTACTTAATGGCTAAAAAGTTGAGAATTGTATGATGCGTGAATTTTACCACAAAAGAGACTCATGTTTGATAACATTTTTTTATTGGGAGAATCTCCTAGTTTAAAATATTGAGGTTCTAATTCAGGAAACTTTGTTTGAAGCAATTTATAGAGGCTAGAGGTAATTTATAGATGCTGAAGAGGTGAATTAGAAATGATTTCTAAAAAGCCTACTGATAGGAACCAGAGATCCTACAGTGTCCACACCCGGCATACAGTGGGTGTCTACGTATGACTGAGCACTGGGCGTGGGCTGCAGGCAAAAACATCCTCAACAGCAGAGAGGCAGAAATAAGCTTCAAAATTCACTGCAGAGGTATACTCACCCTGGGCCTGTTCCCCTTCTCAAAGAGCAGGGGCTGCATAATTATCTGAATAACATCCAAATGTGTCTATATTAATGTATATGTAGAATCCAGTGGCTCTAGTCACACTGCCAGGCTCCAGCTTGGGTCCAGAGCACACTAATCTGCATTTAAAGGGACTAAAAACTCACACAAATGAGAATTTACAACAAATTGGAAGTGACAGTTTGTCTATTATCCACCCTAGGGATGGTAGTAGAAGGTGTCCTAATGTCCAAAAGAATAAGAGGACTTTCGTTTGGAATGACAATAGGATTCTTCTGCCTCCCCCACCTCCTGCTGTTTTAGGGGAAGAAAAGAGAGGGGCAAGAAATGAAGGTGTTTCCAGAGTTTCTGGCAATTCACTTTTTAAAAAATTTATTTTAGTGAAATATAGTTGATTTACAATGTTGTTAAATTTCTGCTGTATAGCACAGTGATTTAGTTATACGTATATATGTTCTTTTCCATTATAGTTTATCACAAGATATTGAATATAATTCCCTGTGTTATACAGTCAGACCTTGTTGCTTGTCCATTCTCTATACAACAGTTTACATTTGGCAATCCACTCTATTTTTTTTTTTTTGAGGAATTGGCTTCTCTAAAAAAATTATTTTATTGGAGTATAGTTGATTTACAATGTTGTTAGTTTCTGCTCTTCAGCAAAGTAAATCAGTTACACACACATATATATCCACACTTTGTCAGATTCTTTTCCTATATAGGTCATTACAGAGTATTGAATAGAGTTCCCTGTGCTATACAGTGATCCTTATTAGCTACCTAGGCTCAGCGGTAAAGAATCTGTCTGCCAGTGCAGGAGACTTGGGTTGGATCCCTGGGTTAGAAAGATCCCCTGGAGAAGGAAAAGGCTACCCACTCCAGTATTCTTGCCTGGGAAATCCCATGGACAGAGGAACCTGGCAGGCTACAGTCCATGACATTGCAAACGAATCATACATGACTTAGAGACTAAATAACAAGCATGTGACTCCCAATATATCCTGTCCCACCTGGTAACCATGTTTGTTTTCTGTGTCTGTGAGTGTATTTCTGTTGGTAAGTTCATTTGCATCATTTTTTTTTTTTTAGATTCCACATATAAGTGATTATGATATTTGTCTTTGACTTACCTCACTCAGTATGACAATCTCTGGGTCTATCCATGTTTCTGCAAATGGCATTATTTTTGTCCTAACTGGCATTCATTTAGGGCTTCCCAGCAGCACTAGTAGTAAAGAACTTGCCTGGGAATTCCCATGGACAGGGGAGCCTAGCAAGCTACAACACACAGGGTCAAAAAGAGTTGGACATAACTGGAGCGACTTAGCACACACAAGCTACATAGTAGAAAAATGGGAAAATGAAGTCTTGGGGTGTGGGGGAGAATATGAAAAGACAACAGTATTGGTTACCAAGGAGGTGGTGATTAGAGATAAATTAGGAGATCGAGATTAATATATACTCACTACTATTCATATACACTATATTATATATGAAATAGGTAAACAACAAGGGTTCGATCCCTGGGTTGGGAAGATCCCCTGCAGAAGGAAAAGGCTACCCACTCCAGTATTCTGGCCTGGCGAATTCCATGGACTGTATAGGCCATGAGGTCGCAAAGAGTCAGACATGACTGACTGACTTTCACACACATGAATGTGTGAGATCTGAGAACTTGTAGAGTGTTTAAAAGTTAGCAACCACTGAATAATGTGGTAATGCTGCTGAGAAGCTGTGGCTTTAGAGCTTCCTGGCTGGTTAAAAAGAACCCTAAGAGGAAGGACTGAGTAGGGGCCTGCCCTCTGCAAAGTCAGCAAATAGGAAACTTTTCTTTAGAAGCCCCTGCTCCCTTTCCTTTCTTCCTTCCTGATCTTTATTAGGAAATTCATTTAGAAATCCTTTTAAAATTATTTTTTCTCTCTTCAATTCTGCTATCAGGTAAGGTGTGACCACCTCACTCACACTAAATCAGGACCCATAAATGCCTGGCCCATGGCCGCTGCCACCCCCAGGCATCCTGTGCCCGCGGTGGCCATCTCCCATCCATCACACACTTCTTTCCTGTTGAGTCCAGGAATAGCCTCATAATTCTTCCTAATGCAGTGCTCTTGACAGCCGCTACCACTTTTAGAGTTTGCACAAGGTAGAAAACCATTATGCAGCTCTGGCTGTAAGCGATCATTGACTGACATGTTTTAAAGTCACTTTTTCCATGAGCATTTGCATTTTAGCAAAGGATAAACCCGTTAGGCCAGAAAAGTGAGTTCCTTATGAAAAGACAGGTAAGTGCTGGCACTTCTCACTACCCTTGATCTCAAGCCACAGGACCCAGACCAGAAGACAATAACAGTCAGCCACTCATAAGGGCTGAGCCTCAGAGGTGTCAGCACCACCTTCAAACTTTCAAACTTGAGAGCCCATTCCCTGCATTATGCTGAGCAAGGTAGAATAGATGTGGTTCTCCAAGTAACTTCCAGGCACTATGTCTAGATTAACTAAAAACTCACCCAATGGTCGTCCCCACTAAATGACCTCATGGATCTTTATTGCCAGGGGAGCTAGGGCATCAGTAATATTTCAGGAAATCCAAATGCTTATGGTAGACATACAAAGGATCATATCTAAACAAAGCAGTCCTTGAGAAGACTATTTTTCTCTATTTTCTCAAAAACATTTTCAAATGTTATTATAGATTGCTTTCATCTAAAGTATACACCTAACACCTGGCATGTTATAGCAGCTCTCTTGGCCTAAGCTTTTTATTTTGGAGAAGAAAATATAAAATCTACAAAACTGTCATCTTCTAACTCTTCTGCAAGCTACTTAATAGAAATAGATGCTGTGAAAACCTATTTGGATTCTTTAGGCAGCTCATATGTAACAGTAAGTGTTTTGATATCAATAGGTCTGTTCCCAGGTCTATAACTTACTTTACTTGGGAAATGAAGATCTGCTAAAAAATGTAAAAGGTGTAGACATTAAATTGAGTCTAAAGACTTTTCAGGATTACTCAAGGACAAGAAATTACAGAGACTGGAAGTCCAGTGGAAAGGGGTTAAGACATTTGGGGGTTAAGACAAATCTGGAGCTGATTCCCTTATATAAGTTATTAAACTTTTCTGAGTATGGCTTACTCCCTGTTTAAAATAAAGATGATATTGTGACACTTTATTGGATTATTGGAAAGACCAAATAAGGCAAACTATGTAAAGCACTTTGACATATGTGAATATTAGATTTTTTTCTTGACCTTTGAAGATCATGGGCAATAGATTTTTTGAGTTTATCCACTCATTGATTCATTCACTTATTTAATAAATATTTGTGAAACTTGTACTCTAAAAAAATAAGTCATTATACATCTTCTCCCCCACCCCCAAGTCCTTATGGTTTGGTAAATGGTGGATGATGTTTATACAAGTATACAATGCCAGCATGGAGTAAATGCCACAGGGTTATTCCAGGCTGTTTCACAAGGAAAAGTTGGCACTTAAATTTTTATTGGGAAGAACTGTTAGAATACCAATAACTTATCAAAATTAATTCTAGAAGAATGAACTGTAAGGAGTAAACCATGCAAGCGGAAGCTTTCTTGTGAAATAAGATACCACAGTATGTACCCTAATGTAAGGTAACGTCTCCCAGAACACTATCTTTCAGAAAGAGGTTGTAGCCTTATATTCAACTCCTATAAATATTATGAAAGATTACAATATAAAAAGTATTTTTAATGGATATCATAAATATACATGAGCAGTACAAATAAAATGACAAACTTCCCTAATATATGTTAATAGATACTTACATCTTGAGATAAAACCTCTGAAATAGATTGAAAGAAGTGTTGTATCTCAACCAACTTGGATGAACATGAATATAGTAAACTTGAAATGTTGACTTTGATGTAGAATAAGATTTTAAATTCATCAATGATAAAGCAACAATTTAAATACATCTAAGCCTATGCAACACACTGGGGCATAGATAAATAGTAGAAAATGAAGTTGAAAGTGTTGTTTGGGCTCAAATAGTGGAAGGCTTTAATTGACTTGCAAGGTAGCCAGAACATGACTTTCATGTTGCTGTCAATGGGAAGCCACTGCTGGCATTTGAGGAGGAAAGGGGGGTGATCACTTGACTAAGTTTTAAAAAGACTAATCTGGCTATAGACAGTTGAAAGGAGGATTTGTAGGGCTTCCAAATATGGACCTAACTGCTACTTCCAATGGGGGATTATTAAGGGTGGATACTGAGGATGAAAAAAATAGATATACTGTACATAAATACCTATATAATTTGGCCACTAGACAGTAGGGGATGATTCCCTTGACCTTTTGTCATCACAATATAATCAATCCCCAGAGCCTAGAAAGGGCTACAATAAATATTTATTGTTGAAGGAATGGATTAAGGGTAACATACTTTTAAGTTGAAAGAAAGGGAGAAATGTAAAAGGGCAGAATTTATGACTGTGAATTAAATTTTAATTTTTAATCTTTTGGATATTCAAAGAAGGAACCATAGAATCTAGAATTGAATCTGGAATTGGGGATGTGACTATGAAGTAGAATATATCTCGGCTTTCACAGACTACTAGACTAGCTGATTATCTTGCACTGTACTGGGCCATTGCTTTGACAGCAGTTTCTCATCTATCAAGTCTTTATGTTCTTTGTTTCAATTTAAGACCTTTTCCTCATCTTTTCTAGCGGTGAATACTTCCTATCACTCTCAAGCTCATATAAGGCTTTCCACTTCACATTTGTTCATTAAGACAGGATCTAGACAATACAAAATTAATTCAAACATAATTGGTCAAGTCATTTGATTTTAAGGTAAATGACTAACTGAAGGTGTTACTTTTTTATTGCAACACTGTGGAAGTATTAGCTGCATAGCAATCCAACTTCTAGAAATTCAATCTCAGTCACTATAGGTGGCAGAAAGAATTAAAGTCACTTGATTTTTCTTCACTAACTTTCACTGACCAAGAGCAAAGACTTAAAAACCTGTGTAACCTTGAAAGTATGAGCTAAAATACAAAGACTGGATTTGAATTGAGATTAAAAACTTGGGCAAAAATTCTCAAGGAAACAGTTTGAGACAGATGATGAATATAAATATCTCGATTTAGAGAAAAAAGCAAAGTAACACTTTGATCTTATGAAAATTAAAAACAAAAACCTTTGAAAAATTTCAGGAAGCTAATAAAATATTCTCAACACACTTAAAAACATTCAAAGGTATTTACTTCTGTCTGGTTTCAAGATCAGCTCATCAAATAAAATATATTCTATACAATAAACTAATCATCATTTTGTGAGAATAATATACTTTAGGAACTAGTCACTTACAAAACAGGGTTCCTGGAATGGACAATCAAATTTTCTTTTATGGTTGGTTACTGTAGATAAACACCTGGCTCTACTATCCAAAATACACTAATAGGTTTTTTGAACCAACTAGTCAACTTAACATACTTGGTAAAAATAGGTCAGTTTGAGAAGAAAATTTAAGAACTAGAATTTTCTCAGCCTTGCCTGCTATTACAGTTACCTGGGGCTCTTTTAATTACTCCTGCATGTGGTCAAGTTGTCTGGATGCTTAAATCAGAATCCCTGGAGCTAGAGATACCAGAAAGGAAATTTTTTAAAAAGTACCTTGTAAAATCTCACCCCCCCTAAAATAAAGTACTGAGGAATAAACCTGACCAAGAAGGTGAAATAAGCCCACAAACCTATGCTCAATTCATCTTTGACAAAGGAGGCAAGACTATACAATGCAAAAAAAAAGTCTGTTCAGCAAGGGGTGCTGGGACAGTTAGACATATGCATGTAAATCAATGAAGTTAGAACACATCCTCTCACCATACACAAAAATAAACTCAAGATGGTTTAAAGACTTAAACATAAGACATTATATCATAAAACTGCTAGAATAGAGCATAGGCAAAACATTCTCTGACATAATTTGTATCAATATTTTCTTAGGTCAGTCTCCCAAGGCAACAGAAATAAAAACAAACAAATTGGGCCTAATCAAACATACGAGCTTTTTGCACAGTAAAGGAAACCATAAACAAAATGAAAAGACAACCTACAAGTGAGAGAATATATTTGCAAATCATGTGACTGACAAGGGCTTGATTTCCAAAATGTACAAACAACACATACAACTCAACGACAAGAAAACAACCCAATTAAAAAAAATGGGCAGAAGACTTAAGTAGCCACTTCTCCAAAGACATTCAGATGGCCAATAGGCACATGAAAAGATGCTCAGCATCACTATTTATTAGAAAAGTGCAAATCAAAAAAAAAAAAAAAAAACGAGATACCATCTCATACCAGTCAGAATGGCCATCATTAAATGTAGATACCAGATGGTGGAAAGAGCATGGAGAAAAAGAAACCCTCCTATATTGTTTGTGGGAATGTATTGAATAAGTTGGTGAAGCCACTGTGTGGAACAGTATGGAAGTTCCTCAGAAAGCTAAAAATAGAAATACCAAAAAAAAAAAAATACCAAATGATCCAGCAATCCCAGTCCTGGCCATACATCCATACAAAACTTTAAAAAAAATACATGCACCCCTATATTCATAGCAGCATTATTCCCAATAGCCATGACATGGAAAAAAATCTATATGCCCATTGGCAAATTAATGGAAAAAGAAATTTTTAAAAATAAATATACGATGGAATAGTACTCAGCCATAAAAAAGCATGAAATAATGCCATTTGCAGCAACATGCTTGGACCTAGACATTAACACAGTAAGTGAAGTCAGTCAGAGAAAGACAAAAATATCCTACAATATTACTATATGTGAAATCTAAAATAAATAAATGAAACTGTCTATGAAACAGACTCATGGAGATATAGAACAGATGTGTGGTTGCCAAGTGGGAGGGCGGTAGTAGTTGTAAGCTTTTATATATAGAATGGATAAATAACAAGGTCCTACTATATACAGCATTGAGAACTATTTTCTATATCCTGTCCCCATAATGGAAAGTGAAAAAGAATCTGTGTGTGTATACATATGTGCATGCTGAGTTGCGTCCGACTCTTTGCGACCCTATGCTCTATAGCCTGCCAGGCTTCTCGTCCATGGGATTCTCCATGCAAGAATACTGGAATGGGTTGTCATTTCCTTCTCCAGGGTATGTGTATGTATTTGTGTGTGTGTATGAACTGAATCACTTTGTCTAACAGCAGAAATTAACACAACATTGTAAATCAACTACACTTAATTAAAAAAAATAAAAAAGAATCTCTGTGACTAAGTCCTGGTACTAAGAGGTACCAGGAATTTCCAGTGTGTTAAACTGGTACTGATCTAAATCAAAATTGTAAAATGGGAAAGCCCTGATTAATGATTTGCCTCGTATACCTGTGATATTATATGAAAGCCAAATACAAAGATGTTATTTCAAATGAGGACAATAAAGATAATACTCTCCCACTTCAACTATTTAGCAATTCTAATATTGGTGATTATTTGTGAGTTTAAGGGTCCTGTTATAATGATCAGATTTCAACATAAGTTTTCTTTTAGTATAATATGCCACCAGTGAAAATATAAACTTTTTACTAGTTAGTACTTACCAAACAAGGTAGGAAGTAAATACTAGGAAAATCATGATAAGAAAACCACCACCTGAAACGCCATAAACCCAAATTTTCACTCGGCCATCTGTTTAAAATAAAAAATAACAGGCTTAGCATAAAAAAGCTTTTATTTCTCATTTAATTAGCGTATTATTTATTTCTCATCTGAATTTTGAGATTTGCAGAAGTCAGAAGCATACGTGGAAACACATGTGACAGCTATCAAATGTCCAAAAAAATAGGTGAAAATATTAAATATAGGTTATCAATTTTTTTCACAATGCCAAAGACCAGCAATCAGTACTTCATAAAATCTAACAACTGGCAGGATATTTTGAATTTATTTTCATTTATATATACTTCTAATACAAAAGTATTACAAAACATATCCACATGTAGAAGTATATATTATTTTGGATTTGATATCTGCAAGAGGTTAAAAAAAAAAGAACCAAATAGTCTGATCTATTTTGTGATTTTTAACTATATGACATACAAATTTGAGTTGTTTCTGGAAAACACATGGTTTTTGCTAAGTTTTACATGAGCACACAGTTAATTAAACTTAGAATTGCACTGATAATAGCAATGCCTTAGCATCCCAAAAGGAATTATGTTCCTTTTTGAAAGATGCACACACAAAGGTTCATTATACTACATTGAATGTAATTAACTGTTGGTCCAAAAAAAAACACATATCAGAATCTTATTCTAAAGACGTTCATGGGATAAAAAACAAAATCTATTGTAAACATTTGTTTGAAAGAAAATCACTACTACTTTCAATTATATTGTGACTATGTATTACAGTTTTTGCTTACAAGACACTTTCAAGCCTCAATCGAGTTTTTGAATGAGTTTTCAACATAGTAGTGACATTTTTTTTTTACGGTCATAAAACTTTTAACAAAGCTTTGATTTTGATCTCTTTGAAACACTAATGATGTGATCCCCTATTCTGAATTTTTTACATTGGCAATTAAAAAAAGTCTTCCCTGAGTAAGAATGCATCTTTCATCTTATTACCCCTAAACCTCAAAGAGCTGAAGTATTGTAAGATCCAGTGCTTTTAAATCCCTATTGCAGAGGTATGTGATCTGGGTGACCTTTAAATCATGTTACTTAAAGAAGAATTAATATAGCTGTTTCTAAGAAGCTGTGTGGCACAGAGGGCTTAGCTTGGTTCTCTGCAGTGACCTGGAGAGATGCGATGAGGAGGGAAGTCCAAGGAAGAGTGCATATATGTGTGCGTGTGACTGCTTCACTTCATTCTACAGCAGAAACTAACATAACACTGTAAAACATTTATACCACAATAAAAAATAATTTAAAAATATATATGTGGTGGAAAATTAGTCTTCCTACCTGAGCTCCCTCCCCAGATGCTATCACTGTTACCAATTTATGAACCATCTCATAGTTTTCTCTGCAAATGCAAGCAAATGAGTATATATACAACATGCATGCCCTTTTTAAAAAAAGACACAAATGATCCTTATCGTTCACTTTGGTACTACTTTTCCACCTAACAATACATATTAAAAATATTTCCATGCTAGTTCATAAAGGGAGGTCCATCTCATCCTTTTTAATACCCCTAAGAGACATTACACAGTTGTATCATATTTTTTTTGTTATTCTGTTTGTAGAGATTTATGTTATTTCCATTCATTTTTTATATAATAAGCAATCATATTACATCCTTCTCTTAGTATATGTGTGTATATATGTATGATAGGTTTTGCCTAATTGCCTTCCTGAGAGGTTGCTCAAATTTTCAACCCCATTATGAGAACCCAATGAAAGTTATAAACTTTCTCCCAGACTAAATATATATTTTACATATGTTTATATACATACATATACAAGTGTATATATGAGTATACATATATGTATGTATCTGTGTTTATGTATATATGTATACACACATGTATCATCACATACATGGTATTAATGCTTTAGTTAGGTTTCCAAAGTTTAAGGACCTCATTTGTGGATTTGAAAACTCATTTCCTTGGAACCTCATCCTAATTCTCTCCCTGAAATACGGTCTACAAGCAATGAGTGAGCCTGGTTGCATTTCATAGCATGCTTCCCTCAACTTTAAGTCTGTTTCTCTAAATTAGCTAAACATCACAGAATGAATATGATTTTTAATATCTACGGCATGCCCAGATGTACTTGGGAACCAAAACTTAAGTTATTGTGGTCATCCTTATAAGCTAGTCACAGAATGTCCTGTTTCTCCCACTAGATCTAGGGTTCTTCGTGTCTGGGCTCTAGTTTTGCTTCATTTAAGCATGTCATCAGGGCACTTTGGTACGACCAAGGCTTCGGTCTGGGCGGAAAGTTCCCAAGGTGTCTGAGCTTCATGTGTGTCTTCCCTCTCAAGGTTCCTTCCATCAGTCATGCTATCTCCCTCAGTCATTCACAGCACTTTGTTTTCTGGAAGAGGTATGTACATTAGGCACAGAGAATTTTGCTTTCATATTTTTGTCCAATTCTTAAAGAGGGAAGTAGACACCAGTGCTGTGTAAGGATCTTACTGGCTTGCCTTTCATACCTTCCTCTCACTTACTGGTGGTGTGACCTTGGTCAAATTAGTTTGCATTGCCAGTTTCCAGAATCCTAATCTCTAGAGTGGGGATAACAACATCTCGTTATGTTGCAAGAATGTAATGAGATGAGTCATGCAATACAACCAGCATGGAATCATAGGGTACAGAGAAATTATCTAATACTGTTCATTCTTATCCTTGATCTCCACTAAGTTTTGAGTCCTGTAGGCCTGACACTGTGCTAATACTCATGAAAATGCTGCAGGACAGATGCCTAGATTGATTCATAGATGAGGTAAAGAAATTACATGCAATCACAAAGCGGGTACCTCTGATCCATGATACACATAAGGTCTCTTGGCCTCTGAAATTGATGCTGTTTTACTATATCACTAGTGTTTCTCAAACCAGTTAGGGTACCTAGAATTTCCCTACATAACTCCGTGTTCCTGAGAATCTATTCCTTTTCTTGTTTTTCAATTATATATAAAACTTCACAGTGCTAAAGTCTTTAGCAAAGATAATTTACAATTCAAACATTTTCAAAGATTAATATTTTGTTTCCTTAACTCAGACTGGGGTTGACAGGCTTATTCTCAACCGCCCATGAAAACGTTTTACACTACATGGCACTCAAGTGGGAGAAAGCTTGAACAAGACCATATTGCCTTTTCTGTCCCTTCTTCCCTCCATGCTTTCCGTCACGAGCAGTGGTCACGACATGAACTCTCATCCCCCAAGAGAAAATTTACATTTCTTACTCATAACTGATATGTACCTGGATCAAGGGGCTGGAGAGACCATCCTTTAAAAATATCATGTATTTTTGAATTCACAGGTCTGTTTTTCCCAGCAAGGGTTTTCCCATCAGCTTTTTTATCCTCTGAGCCTGGTACCTTCATGCAATAATCCAGAAGACCATTTGATCTCATGATCTCTGCATAGCCTTTCTCACAACCACAGACTCCACCCTACAGCATGAAAAATACATTTATGGTCACACAGTGAGTTGTATAGATGAAAACAATAACACCTTAATTATTGGAACTGCTTAACAGTTGCATGATATGTCATGGCAATTCAGGGTTTTTTCAGCATCAGACTTGGCAAAGAGATGAAAATTCAATAAATAGTTCATCTTTCTGATTTCCAAAGTCAGCACTTCAATAAATCATCAGTTCTTTCTAGGGGTTGATCATTCTTACACCTTCCAAATTGAAACCATAATTTTTTGTCAATAGAGAATATGAACTACATCCTTTTCTCTCTTATAGAGGTGTTTAAAGCTTTAATTAAAAATTTACTTCGGTTCTTCTCCCAGCTGTTTCAGATTCTTGCCTGCTTACTCCAATCTGTCCTTAACATTGAGAAGCAAAGCAACAGAAATTATGTGCATATCTTCTCTGAGTTTTGTGCTCTTTGAGGTCTCTTTCTGCCTCTATCATCTTCTACCATTGATCACGAACTAGACTGAACTGGCTCTCCACTCATAGACTTAGTTCTGCACTAAGAGGAGACAGTCCGAGGCTGTGAAGGGGGGAAAAAAAGAAAAAAAACTTTGGCAAAAGCATATGTCCACAAGAGGGAGGAAAGACAGAGAGATAGATATCTTTAAGTAACCTGAGTGTCACAACACATCATCAAATTCCTAGTTGGCATCATGACAATGGGTCTTTCATGTTTGTCTGTGGATTCCTGGTAATTTTAATGCACAATAAGCCTTTCAAAGAAACTGATAATGATACAATGTAATGGACAAAGATTTTCTATCTGTCTCTGGAAGTGAAACTGAAATAACTGCTCTTCCTTCCTCCAGGAAACATAAAGGCAATAGAGGAGAATAGAAAATAAGCATGAGATTATGAATCTCTCTGACTTTGCTATTAGGATTCCTTACATAAAACTATGGTATTTTCTCAACATACCTTAGCCTCAAACGGTAACTCATATCAATCTTTATGCATCAGCCATATATACTTACTGGTTCCAAATAGGGGAAGGGGTACGTCATGACTGTATATTGTCACCTGCTTATTTAATTTATATGCAGAGTATATGATGAGAAACACTGGGCTGGATGAAGCACAAGCTGGAATCAAGATTGCAGGGAGAAATATCAATAACCTCAGATATGCAGATGACACCACCCTTATGGCAGAAAGCGAAGAAGAACTAAAGAGCCTCTTGATGACGGTGAAACAGGAGAGTGAAAAAAATTGGCTTAAAACTCAATATTCAGAAAACTAAGATCATGGCATCTAGTCCTATCACTTCATGGCAAATAGATAGGGAAACAGTGGAAACAGTGACGGACTTTATTTTTGGGGGGCTTCAAAATCACTGAAGATGCTGACTGTGGGCATGAAATTAAAAGGTGCTTACTCCTTGGAAGAAAAGTCATGACCAAATTAGACAGCATATTAAAAAGCAGAGACATGACTTTGCCAACAAAGGTCTGTCTGGTCAAAGCTATGGTTCTTCCAGTAGTCATGTATGGATATGAGAGTTGGACCATAAAGAAAGCTGAGCACTGAATAATTGATGCTTTTGATCCGTGCTATTGGAGAAGACTCTTGAGAGTCCCTTGGACTGCAAGGAGATCCAACCAGTCCATCCTAAAGGAGATCAGTCCTGGGTGTTCATTGGAAGGACTGATGCTGAAGCTGAAACTCCAATCCTTTGGCCACCTGATGTGAAGAGCTGACTCATTTGCAAAGACCCTGATGCTGGGAAAGATTGAAGGTGGGAGAAGAAGGGGATGACAGAGCATGCGATGGTTGGATGGCATCACCGACTTGATGGACATGAGTTTGAGTAAACTCTGGGAGTTGGTAATGGACACGGAGGCCTGGCGTGCTACAGTCCATGGGGTCGCAGAATCAGACATGACTTAGTGACTGAACTGAACTATTTACTTAGGTCATAAGTTGTTGACTGAACACATGATTTTGAGGAGCAACAGATACTAAAACTAAAAATTAGAAGTTAAAAAAATATAATTAATAAATGCCTAAATTTTAGGTAGAGATTGTATAATGACAGTTATCATTATAAATATTTCCAGTGGTTTTAATTAAAGACATTACTCTGTTTGATGGGGAGAAACTAATGGAGAAAATTGGTACAAGCTTAGATATGAAAGCCATCTTTTCAAGATGTGTCTCTATTTAGTCTGAATGAAAAGCTGTAACCAGTTATATAGGACAAAGGTTCAAGGGAAAAGGTATTTTATGTTTATTACAGAGGGTCTCCAGAGAGTTGGGGAGAAGCCACAACTGCTATTTCACAAACATCATTAGCCCATGAAGTCGGTGCTGATCTCTTTTCCTTCTTTTTTCCACTGGCAACTTAATCCCTAGCTTTCCTGTGTGAAAGAATTAACCTACTTCTACTTGAAGTAGATGGTCCATAAAATAGAATGGAGCATTTGAATCATTTTAACCAAATCATTTTTGGAAAGAACACACTATAAGAAGAAACTTCTTTCTTTGAGAGACAGGGCGCACCTTTCTTCTATATACACTGTACACTTTGAGCGTCACTGATTAGAATACATGGTACATTTTGCACTAAATCCTGAGCAGTAATGGGTGGGAATTAAGAAAAAGGGGAAACATTTCTTCTTTAAAAAATGTATATATATACACACACATAATTATTACCCATAACCATACTATCAGCTTATTTAAAATCAACTAAAATTTATACACACTAATCACAGTGTAATCAATTTTAGTACCTAATGTTTAGCAAACATGAACATATCCTTTTAAAGATTTTGCAAAATAGTTTAGGTATATGAAAGGCTAAGAATGAAGGAAATAATCAGAGGAGAAAGAGAGCTAACAGAGATTAGATATCTGAAAGAGAGGTTAGCTATAAAAGACTGCTTTCTTGAACACATGGCCGTGCAAAGAAATTCTTAATAGCTGTGATTACTTCTGCAAATGCCTCTAGGTGGTATCGTGGGCCCATGGAATTGCTGCTTGGGATAAAGGAGACTGGAAAACATCAGACAACATACATATAACACAATTAAATTACCTGTCCAAGGCTCTAGCACCTGACTCACCTGTGTGCAGTAGGAGAAAGGTTTTCTGCAAGCTGGGTTACACTGCCGAATAGCAGCAGGGCGTGCCTGAGGGGAGCAGCCTCCTACAAAGGAAGTCCCACCATCATCCACAGATTTTTCGAGGGTAAATATTCACTTCTTTTCCTCTCTGACACTGGCTACCTTGTAACAGTATTATTTTTCAAAAAAATCTGTTTGCGGAGAGCTTGGCTATTTCATTTTGTTGACTATTCTAGGAAAGGCTGTTTGAGATGGGAGGCTCTGCTAACAGAAGTTGTTTACAGTTGAGATTTTATACCTGCGTGTTGGCCAGGTGATTCTATCATATGGCTTCACTTGAGGGCAAAGCCTATGAGTGTCAGGATCAGTAAAAGAATTGATGAAATCTCAACTGAAGTTCAGTAGCAGAAGATATATACGCTCAAAGATCTGTCTACTTAGTTTTTTTCTAGCTCCCAAACTAGGCACTAGACCAATTTCCAACAACCAAACACTAAAAGAATGCCACTAGTCCATTCATGAGACCACAATATTAAACATTTTGGTAACATTTTAAATGTATTTCAGCCAGAATACATGCATATGCACACACATGCAGAGTCACACACAGATTGCCACATGTATTTTTAAGAGCAAATGTATACACTCCAGCAGGGATAATCATACATCTGACACTAGTACTTGCAGGTCCTTATTAAAATAGCTTTGAGTTAACTAGATGGAATAATATGTCTATAATCTAAAAATCATTTATATATTAGTTGTGCCTTCCTGGATTCAAAGTACCAGCAAAGAAGTTGACATATTATCAAGGGCACTGTTGAAGCTACATTTATACACCACTGGTTGCATTTATAGGTTCTAGTCTCTGCATTATTATAATTGTCAACCAATTATATAGTATGTAACCATAACATAAAATTATAATTTTGTAACTAGAGAAAATTTTGTGCTTAAGGCTGCGTAGGGAGTTGCATCTACATTTTTCTGAAGAATGAAATAGCTAAAATCTGTTGCTTGAAAAATAATTTCCGCAGGGGAAAAAAACAAACCACCAGGATCCAGAATGAGCAGGTAGGTGTGAAATTGATCATGTGTTAGTGGCAGTAACCACACAGCCTTGTCACTGCCAACAGAGTTTGGAGATGGTGTTTTTTCCTCCTTAAACCAGGGATCTCCACCATGCAGTCTGTATACTCCATGGGGAGAAGATCACCTGAGAGCCAGGAAAAGCATGTTAGAATTTGTATATTTTAGCCAACATTTTACATTTTAGCAATGATATTAAGCTGTGATAATACTTGGCAGGTGACACTGGTAACCTGAGCTCATTCATCAGGTGGCCCTGGGATGTCCACCAGCCACGAGGTACTCCAGGCAGAGAATCTGGAAGTGGAACCCTCACCGGTTGGTAAACTCTCAGCACACTGCAGCAAGTGATGCTTTCTGTGTTCCTGGTTAGGCAGACTTACAGTATATTTAGTTTTAACATTAACTTACACAATGGGCAAGTCACTTAAAATAAATGATTGTATGGAAAAACTATGGGTTAAAGGGACAACCAATAATGAAAAAATGAGTAAGCTAGAAAAAGGTGAAGCAATCTTTCTATTCCAATAGAAAAATCGAGATTCTTCTATTCTGACGAGCTCTTAGCCCTGGCACTAAGTAAAAAGAAAGACAATTTGATTTTCTTTCATAAGAAGGCATCGAAGCAAACCCCTTTAAAATGATTGAGAAGACCATTTGTAGAATCTAATTGCATTCACTGTCATGAACGAGGAACCCTTCCTTCAACATATATTCAGATATTAAATAATAATCAAGGCTACCACATTGTTAAAAAATGAAACTTTCAGTACATGAACATAAGCATCTATAATTTACAGGAAAATGTTTTTAATCATTAATATATTTTAGCTTTTATATCTTTATCAACTTTTAATTTCAATTTCTGTATATGTTTCATAACATGGTACATTAGCACAGTAGTGTGGGATTTTAGGATATTTTGAGGTCTGTTCTCAAATACCTTTTACTGAAAAGGTACATCTTTAAAAATTTTATTAGAGACCATTGTTTTAAACCAACATCTGTGTCTTTCAGTTTTTGTCTTAGATCATGATATTCAAGGAAATTTTATTATGTATCAACTGATGCTGAAGCTGAAACTCCAATTCTTTCGCCACCTGATGCGAAGAACTGACTCCTTGGAAAAGACCCTGATGCTGGGAAAGATTGAAGGTGGGAGGAGAAGGGGACGACAGAGGATGAGATAGCTGGATGGCATCACCGACTCAATGGACATGAGTTTGAGTAAACTCTGGGAGTTGGTGATGGACAGGGAAGCCTGGAGTGCTGCAGTCCATGGGGTCACAAAGAGTCAGACATGGCTGAGGGGCTGAATTGAACTGAACTGAACTATGTTAAGTTGCCTGATATACTGTGTGTGTGTATGCTCAGTCACTCAGTCATATCTAACTCTTTGTGACACCATGGACTGTAGCCCACTAGGCTCCTCTGTTCATGGACTTCTCCAGGCAAGAATACCGGAATAGGTTGCCATTTCCTTATCAAGGGGATCTTCCTGACTCAGGGATTGAAACCCTGTCCCCTACGGCTCCTGCACTGGCAGGTGAATTCTTTACAATTGTGCCACCCGGGTAGCCCATCTGATATATTATGGGACTTCATATAGAACGGTTTGCTTTCTAGGATGCAAAGATCTAATGGCAACTTGCCATGAAGCTCATCTAAGTCCACTCCCCAGTCTTCCCTTGCTTATAATTTTTAAGCTAATTCTTCTCACCAACAGCAACACTCAGAGACCTTTCTGAAGTGCCCACATGAATCTTAGGCAGGAATACCTGTGACGTTAATGCCATCTGAACGTTGGCACCACACAGTTCGTTCATTATTGTTCCAAAGACTTGCTTTCCATGTGTAGTGATAACATTTACCTCCTGCAAGTAAATACGATAACAGCGGTTCTATTATGCCTCAATCAAAGCAGAGTAAGTATTGATCAATCAAGGCTGAGAGTTGCAAAGTGCTTTGGTACCTGTACAAGGGCGTGTTTCTAGAACCTGCTGGGGGCAGCTGTCTTGGTTCTCAAAAGACTGAATTATAAATGTCCTTGACCGAGATTGGCGACCCAGAGTCTCGAAGCTTCTTCCATCAATGCAGGTCAGCTCACACGTGCTCCACGCTGACCATTCTGTTAAATGGCAGTCTCCTGGAGGATCATGCAGCACAGGGCAGAGGAAACCGTAAAAACTGGCCCCTGATCCCATTTACACACACAGGGCTCACAGTGGGATTCGTGTGGTGCCGCTGTGACCAGGTGCATTCCAGAAACGACAAGTTCTATGCTGACTAATTTTCTAATTAGAAAGCACTAGGGGTGAGTAAGTAACTTATGGTTTCATCTAGTTGAATGAAAAGTGCCAAGCACTATACTGCCATTATTTTGCCCCAAATCATGGCAGTTTTATCTGGAGAACACTAGTGTCTACTAGTGACAATAAAATTTTTAAAAGGAAGTGTAAAGATTATAGCAACTCAGTTTTTAAAGAGCATCATAACATCATAAAATGGATGTTCACAGAAATTATATAAAGGAAAGAAGTAGAGTAGCTTTAAACTTAAAGAATGGTTCATTTAACAATCCAAACATGCACAATTTGTGTGTGTGTATATATATGCCAATATGTATGAATGTATATATACACACATATATGTTACATGCCATATTATAAGAATACATAAGGATATATTTTGCCACCTTAAGCTTCTGCCATACAAGGTAAGTTGTATTATTAGGATTAAAATAAACTCATAAATCTTATGTAACTGAGAATAACCTTCACAATTACATAGAACTTGCTTAACAGAGTGCTTTCATTTTTAGCCTTACTTGTCATCACCATGTCATCAGCCAGGGCTCATCACTCATGGATTCAGTCAATGTCTTTTGAATGCTGGCCATGTGCTTGGTGTGGTCAGGTATTATTAACACATTTTCTAGATGGAGCAACCACTGCTCAAAGTGACAAGAGTATATGTCTCAGGCAAAGTGCCAGTGACGTGATAGTGACAAGATTCTAACTTAGCGCTTACATTTCCAAGTCCAGTGCTTCCCCCTGACTTGCCCTGCCAGCCTACTTTGCCTCTATAGAAGCTGTTAGGTATATTCCAAAGTGATAACCAATGACACATGGATTAAAGTTAGTTACAAATTTCAACTTGGATGAGAGAGAACTCCAAAAAACAGAAAAAGAAATAAAAAGGTCACCTTGAAAGGTACTCCCAATCATTTTAAAATTGCCTACCTGGGCAAGGCACTAAACACGGCTGTTTCAAGATGCTGTCTTGAAAGGGCATCTCTCTACACAGTGCATCATCTACACGTACAGTCCAGGAAGATATTGAACCGTTGTGGACCACACAGGAGAGGCTGCGGGTCTGGACTCCTTCCCCACAGTCTCCACCCTGTCAGAGGAAAAGGATGCTGTCAGCATTACCCAAATCAGGAACATCTCAAAGTTTTAGCTCCCACCATCTCTTGGGCAAAAAAAGAACCAAAAAGCAAAAAAAACACAGTTGCATATTTCTGCAGCTTCCTTCTCTTGAGAGTTATCTTTCAGTTGTTGACAATAAGACATCCCTGAGCAATTCTCTTAGAGCTGACAGAGCAACTGAAGCAGAAATGCAAATTTATGCCTTGAAATTTATGCACTCAGAATATGACGATTCATTCTGGAGCTCAGCCAGGACTGACTGAAAAAGAAAAACGATACCTAATTTGTCTAGGTGTATGTGATAAAGTGGCCTAATCCATAATCACTCCCCAAAAGAGCATGTACAACCACAGGGTGTACATTTCTCTTTTGCTTTGCTTGTTTTTCTTTTGTAGGGAATTCAGTACTTTCTCATGTGGATTAGACTGGGGTTTCCAGTAAAACGCTGATTTTCTCAGAATGCCTTCTGTGCTGAATATTATTCTTTGAAGACATTTTATACAAATCCCTCTCAGATTATTCTGGCCAATTAGAAAAAAAATGTGCAGGGTCTCACAGAAACAGAGGCTTTGTGGTTATCTAGCTCAACCATCTGCTTGATGAAAGACTTCCTACTCCAACATTTTTAGCAGATACTCACGAGGTGAGTATTATCTCCTCCGTTTTAGTCAGGTGCTCATATTTCAAAAAGAAGTCCATTGGATATTTGGATAACTGGAGAGAGTAGTTTTGTGGCTTTTTTTTTTTTCCATAAATGCCTTAGAAAACAGAGCCCAAGGCAAAGCTTCTATACTAAGGAGGTGAAATCCCAGGGGTGCAAGAGTGAGGCTGAGCAAACCATCACAGGTGCAGAGGAAAAGCAAATATCAGATAGTGTGTTGTCAACTGGCCTCAACTTCATAGTAAACACAGCTGGTTTCTTGGTCAATCACCACGTTGTTTAGACAGGCCACATGGATCATACAAGATGTGGTGGCAGGAAAAAGGGAGAGGCAGGTCCTCCATGGATCCAGTTCTCATTGATCAGCTGTCACCCCAGGGAAACTTCCATATACTTCCAAGGTATATTACTCAGCTCCCACTACCAGGAAATAGGTGGAAGACCAAGTTTTTATGATTACTTCTGGTATAGATGGAGAGAAAGAACATTTGCACAGACTCTGTTGCTGCAGACAAGGATGCTACATGCTACAACCCATTATTAGGTGATAACTGGACAGCTGGGCTCTGCATTGGGAAACTGAGTTTCAGCTCCTCCTTATTTCTCCCTCCCACCACAGGACTCAAACTACATTGCTAGACCTTAGAGCTTCTGTGGCTCTGGCAGCAGCAGGATTGAAGAGGGACATGGTGGGCAGCTAAAGCAGTCATGACAGTGCTCCGGGGTGTGGAGCAGATGACTCAGAGGCTGATGGGCCTGCTGAGCACCAGCCAGGTCAAGGCACGGTGGCAGCAGCTGCTGAGAATCAAGGGCAGGTGCTGGATGGGCTGCCGGATGTGCAGGATGGTGCAGAGGCTGCTGAGAAAAATTCTTTCAGATTCAAAGCTATACTGGCAAAAAAAGAAAAGGTGCAACTTGGAGGAGGTCTAAGATACAGCAATTTAGAGACTGAATCATCTGAGCAGACACACAAACTGGGACCATCACATCCTTTTCCATAGATGTTTTAACAAGAATTGTGCTTTGTTTATCTAAGATGGCAATCCCCACACTTGCTATCTAAGTACCTCATAATCATCCTAACCATTGTGAAATGGTTAAAAAAAAATGTGCCCTAGTTATGAACTCAAGTGCACTTTTTTTTTTTTTTGAGAAACGGAGGTTCAAAATCAATTCACAATATATTCATCCAAACCAAATGTTCTAGTAGATATTTATACCCTAAAGTTGAAAATAACTAGCATAAGTTAAATTTGGGTTTGGGGGAGGGTTCTTTCTGTAACTTATTATTCCAGGTGAGGGATGCATGGCCAAATTGCATAAGGTATATGTTTCACTGTAGAGTGTCAGAGTTCATGAACTTGGAGTCTGACGATACTGCAGCATGTCTGAAGTTTGACGTTACTGCTCTCTAGAACCTCAGGTAACTAGAGATGCAATTAATTAGAGCTTTGTTTGACATTCCAGGAGATGGAGTGTGCAGAAAGGAGGGGAAACTAGTCATTAGGGAGCAGTTTCAAAAACAAGACAAACAATAATATGTTTCTAGTATGTATCCATGTTCCACCTTGATCTCTTATACCTTTGACAACCACAACCACAGTATGAGGAGAAATCAGCAGCAGAATGATAATTTCATTCATAAAGCAAGCATTCATCTAGTCTCACTCATGAGACTTGACACACCAGGACTTGAAAACCGAGCCAGGCTTCTTAGAACAAGATGGTCAACAGTCAGAATTCTGTTACTGTCTCTGCTGTCCAGATCATTAATGGACTTCCTGTCTACTCTGCATCAGCATCACCAGCTGTGGATCAGCAGGTGGTGCTAATACCCATAATCAGAGTTTTAATCAAACCTATAATAACAACCTCAATTTATTGAGCTCTAAATTTATGTCAGGTACTATGCTCAGCACTACATATGACTTGTCTGCTGCTGTTACTGCTAAGTCGCTTCAGTCTTGTCCGACTCTGTGCGACCCCATAGACGGCAGCCCACCAGGCTCCCCCGTCCCTGAGATTCTCCAGGCAAGAACACGAAGTGGGTTGCCATTTCCTTCTCCAATGCATAAAAGTGAAAAGTGAAAGTGAAGTTGCTCAGTCGTGTCCAACTCCTAGCAACACCATGGACTGCAGCCTACAAGGCTCCTCCGTCCATGGGATTTTCCAGGCAAGAGTACTGGAGTGGGGTGCCATTTCCTTCTCCAATGCATGAAAGTGAAAACTGAAAGTGAAGTTGCTCAGTCGTGTCCAACTCCTAGCAGCACCATGGACAGCAGCCCACCAGGCTCCCCCGTCCCTGGGATTCTCCAGGCAAGAGTACTGGAGTGGGGTGCCATTGCCTTCTCTGATGACTTGTCTAATCGCTACCAAAACCCCCAGCAAAACAGGTACTACTGCCCCTCCTGTGGTATACATAAGTAAACAGAGTTTGGAGAGTTTGAAAACCCGACTAAAAGTGCAGAGTGAGGAACTGGAAAAAAAATTTTGACCAAAATTAGGCCTGCAAAGATGCTGACAATAGGGGGAAGCATGCAAGTTTGGGAAATTAAGGGGCATATGGAAACTCTCTGCTCAGTTTTTTGGTATACTTAAAACTACTTTAAAAAAATAGTCTAGGGACTTCCCTAATAGTCCAGGGGTTAAGACACCACTTTTCAATGTAGGGGGCACAAGTTCAATCCCTGGTCAGGGAACTAAGGTCCCACATGCCGCAGGGTGCAGCCAACTATTAAAACAAACAAAAAAATTTAAAAAAACTCAAATATCTTTAAATAAATAAAAATAAAAGCCTACTGATATATATTTTAAATAATAAATACAAAATATGTGTGTGAGTCTATAAATATACATAAATGTGAAATGGTGAATCTAGTGAAGAGTAGAGGGTGTACCTTCATGTTATTCCACTTTTCAAAATAAGAAGTTCTTAGAAATACTAAGGAATAGATGAAGAAGTCTACAAAATAATATTTAAGAATATATAAAATAAAATCTAAAAAAAATTAGACTCGAGAGACTCCAGAGTCTGAGCTCTGAAACAGATTTTGCAACATATGTGTGATACGTGTTATCAGCTAAGAAACTTGGAAGGAGTTAGGAAACCCTGAAAAAAAATAAAGCCTGAGGATAAACACTTTCGTTTGCAAATCTCTTTCCACAGACGATGGTGACAGAATTGGCACATCCACCGTGCCCTGGGCAAGCTCCTGTGTTTGGGGTTTGATCTACTTGATGGCAATCAACCACTTCAACCACCACCTCCAGTGAATAAGTCTGCAACCCGTATCGGGCAGGTCAGGATATTACAGAACCAAGGAAGCAGAAGGACAGCTGTGAGAGAGGTGCACTTGCTTTGTATGTGGAGGCTCATGTGTATTTTGATCAGTAATTCCCCAAACTCAGCTTACATAGATGCGTAAGAAAAGGGGACCCATTGAAAATGTCTTGTGTTATGTATCTCACAAAGCATTCAAAATCAGGCTTCAGAAAGAACTGAAATGCAGTTCAAACTCAGCAAAAATTCTAATATTATCAAGATTCTCTTTCTCTTTTGCCTCTGAGTTACTGACTTTATCTGTTACATCAGATGGGAATATGTGACAGCGAAAGTTTTTGAATATAATATCTTTGAACAGCTTCAATTCCATTCCAAATTTTGGGGGAAGAATGTTATTGGTCTCCTGCAGGTAAGGTGCCCACACAGGAATAATTAATATAGACATGTTTTCTGAGAGCTTTGCCTGGATTGAGGCTAACTCCAGTTTCCTCCTGACTGGAAATGTCAGTGAATGGAATGACCTCATCTAGAAATCTAAGGCATTAAGGTGTATCTCTGGATACACCTGCTCTCATGGTCTCCAGGACCCCCGTGCCTGGGTATCTCCATCAGATGCCACAACCCCCTCTCCCCACCTCCACAAGCACTGCTATAGAGAATGTTCACCACCCACCACTCCAGCCCCTGTGGTTCCAGCTAAAGTTCAGTATGTGACAGCAAAATTTCACACATTACATTTGACATTTCCCCTGCATGCTCCTAGGAGACAAACTGGCAGATTTGTCTCTTTAAAAAAAAAAAAAAAAAAAAAAAAAGCTCTTGATACCCAGGAAGATAAAAGGAAAAGTATTGGGTTGGTCAAAAAGTTCACCTGGGATTTTCTGTAACGTCTTATGGAAAAACCCAAATGAACTTTTGGCCATCTCAATACAAAAGAACAAGTGAGGAACAGCAGCAGCTGGATGGCTGGTGAGACGGAGTGTGTGCAGTTTGTCCCCATCCTTCCCTTCTTCTTCCTGTCTTTTCTCTTCCTTCTCCTGCCATGGGTTCCTAAATTCTTTGAATTTGTTTTCTCTACTCTCTCAACCATTGTTAGGAGAAATCTTCCATTTCTTATTTGTGATTCTAAGCAGTACTGAAAAAACTGTTGACGATTTAGGAAAGAGAGTTTTGGGCTGAGTACACAAAGTATTCATATTTAAAGCCATTAGGTTACTATTGAATTAATTAGCATGGTGCCTTATTTTCTGTAAAAAGGAGACTGAACAAATGTACCACACATTTTTATTCCTCTGGGACTTATTGAAACACATGGGCATTTAACTTCTGCAAGATAATGATGCTGCACAACAATGTCATCCTGACAGGAACACTGTGAGAATACTCTGCAGATATCTTAATGCATAATCAAAATTATTGTTACCTAATTAAATCTGCCTTGGAATACGAACTGAAGGATAAACTAGTAAAACAAGAAAATAGAGAAAAATCAGTGTGCTTTTTTCTTACACAAGAAACCAGAGAGAAAATGCCATAGAGCATCATTGCTGACCCAGCATAAGTTCTGGGTATGTGATATATTATGATGTTACTAGGCATTTATATTTCAGGTCCATAAAAAGCAATCATTGAGGAAAATGTAGTAACCTTGGTTTGTGTAATAATGTTAAAATATAACTTTCATACACTTTTGGTTTTCTGCCCACATGCAAGATTTTGCCTAAGCCTAAAAGTGCTTTTTTAAGAAATACAGTCTGTGACAGGTTGTGCATTTCTATAGCATCAGGGTTTTGCCTAATTGCATAATGCTTTGATATTTCCAACCAGCCAGGAAGATAGAAAATTCTTTAAGATGCTAAAAAGATTGAAAGTCCCCTGATCCAACTTATTACAAATAGTTGATAACGATGGGCATTTATTTTCCTAGCAATATCACTCTGTATGAAGTTAAGTCATTTGGTTCTTTTTTCCATGCTCTCTGTTGCATAAAAATACACTGTGCCAGGCCCCTGGTGCTGTGAAGTTTGTTCCATCACCTTGTAGGTTTGAACAGACAAGTACTTTGGACAGACTGAGAAACATTTCTTTAAATGTCATTATATGACCTACCTCCAATTTACATGCAGACCAGTTGCTGAGGACCCAGCTGTAGCAGGGGGTCATGGGGCAGGTTTTGTGCTGGGCAAGCTCTGTGGGACATGGCCGGCCTTCTCCTTGGGTCGGCATGAGGATAAATCGAGTCCGGCTCCTCTGACCTAAAATGAGGAGGACAATGTCAGCTTTTCCGCTGGAGTTTGGCTAAAAAACCAATTAAAGAACAGAATGTTGCCATATACATAAAAGTCCTCACTAAATCACGCTGAACTTCGTCATGTCCAGGTTTCAGTTATTTTGCTATTTTAATTTAGCTTTCCATGGAGATACAGGTCATCCAAGGTCTGCATATGCTTGTGGATCTGAAACTCTGTCTTCTACTTCAGCCATCCTACGTCCAAACTCTGTACTGTTGCCAAATAGACTGATCCCGTAAACACTGGCAGAATGTTAATTCATTTAATAAATATTTCTTTATTAAGCTCTAGAATAACCAAAGCATGTGCGATGTGCTAGGGGTGCAGTGATAAAACAGCCAGATGTACCTCCTGCCTTCACAAACCTTACATTCTAGGCTAGAATCACCAATATTAAGCAAAAAGAGAATGGCATTTCCTATGTTACGTTCTAAATCATCAAGTGAGATAGAAAATTGCACATAATCCAGATTACTCTAGAAAATTCCCTAGTGTGGTTCCAGTACTGTCACTCCATTAATTCAACATGACCAGTTTTCCTAGAGTTTAGGACCAATTTCTCTTTTTCACTGAATATAAGATAAAGTTGTTAACTTGTGTGGAGAAGCCATGATGTTTGAAAAACATTTTTTCCTAATGAGAGGAAATTGGTTAATAAGAATGGTTCAGGAAAGAGCAGGACTCTCATGTCATCTTATACCCACTGCTAGGCATCAGGTCATAAACTTACCAATAGGAATAATGGATGGAATTTAAATGTTTCATGCTCCTGCTTTCTCTCCTACTCACTCTTGTCTTTACTCATTTGTTATTGATGAACTATGGTATGCATATAGTTTCCTTAATATTAGTCATCTGTGGATCCAATACCCTTCTACTGTTGTTATAAAATTAATTATGTGATTTTATTCATGATAAATGTGAAAGGAAAAACAGAAGGTTCTCCGAGAGCATGTTATGGGGATGCCACCCAGTCTGCGAAAGAATCAGAGAATATTACCTTGAGCAGTTGAGCTTTAAACAGAAATCTGAAGAAGTAAGTCAGACATGATGTACAGAGAGTGGCCCACTGACCCACACAGGAGAAACAGCGTGTGAATAGGTCATGAGGTACAGAAGAGAAGGACAGGTTTGAGGACCTGACAGAAGGCCAGTGTGGCTGGACAAAGAGAGCAAGGAACAGAATATATTGAAGGAATACTGTTAAAGTTATTAAAAGTGAGAATCAAAGATTATACATTTATATTTTAAGAGAAATGGGCAGATAGCAACGACTTCACTTCTGCATAGAATTTACTTGAAAACCTTAGGTAAGCATAATTCTCAGATGTCCTCAAGTTCAGGGAGAAGTAAGGGTAACTAACACATTCAGTGGACTAGACCTCTTAGTGGTCACCAGAATATTATCATAGCTATGGTGGAAAGTCAATTCTCTTTAAGAAGACCCTTGAAGAAAACTAGGATATTCTCATCACTGCATTCTAAATTCCTTGAGGCCTGAGACTCTGTCTCTAACATGAGACTCCCTATATATTAAGCACTAATTGAATATTTGTTTAATTCATATTTTTGTAAACTGTCTCTATGATATTATCTGGTGTGCAAACATGTGTGATGCTATTGCCAAGCAATTTTCTAAATACTTATATACTGACTCACTGAATAGTCATAACAGTCCTAGAGGAAAATTCTATTATTTTCACATATTATAGATAAGGAAATTGCAGCACAGAGTTTGTCACTTCTTTAAGGTCAAAAACTTAGTAAGTTGCAGAACAGGATTCAAACCCAGAAAGTTTTGCTACAGAGATGACTGTATTAGCCAAGATGCTAATGCAAGAGAACATCACATGAGGGCCCAGACAAGACAGCAAGGAATGGACTGATCTAGGTCTTGTATGGGAAACAGAAAAGAAACATAAGGTGGCAGTAAAATTTGTGTTGTTGGTAACTGAGGCTTTGTGAACAACAGAACCTACAAATTCTGCATTCCTGGGCACACAGCAGAACATTTACTTTTAGACCAATGTTCCCTCCCAACATCACTCAAATCAAATCATAGTTGCTGGACATCACCTTATTCATATGAAACATTGTCCCTGCTCAATGAATGCATTTGGCTCAATATTTCACATTAACTCTTACTTAAATACTCTTCAGTTTTATAATAATCTTTATGTTTATTCTCTTGAACTAAATATCTATTATTCTAATGTCATTATAATTGCATCCTGTTCTCTATTCATCTTTGTAAGACTAATCACAATGTAGTGTCACCTTTATCACAGCTAAAGAGATTCTATTTCATTAAAACCAAATCACTTCAAGCTTGTTCTTAAATTGATGGCATGCATCACTGCCATTCCTTTAGGACTATTTTATTTATTTCCACTAAAGTAATGGATATTTTCTGCTGGACATAGATGTGGGGCAGGGGAACCTAATGAAGTCAATAGAAAAAAAAAAAAAGATGAAGTCCTCTAACCACTCACTGAAAGGCCAGCCATATGATTTCTCTGCTTTTTGCTATCCAAACACAAAGATAAGCTCAAACAATGTCAACTATTACCAAGAAGCATATAATTCTATATTCTGAAGTATATTATGGTTTTTTTTCTTTTTTGATTATTGGAATATAATTGCTTGACAATGTTGTGTTAGTTTCTGCTCTCCAACAAAGTGGAGCAGCTGTATGGATGCGTGTACCTCATCCCTCTTGAGCCTCCCTCGCATCCCCTATCCCCATCCCACCCGTTTTAGGTCATCACAGAGCACAGGGCTGAGCTTCCTGCGCTCCACGGCAGATTCTCACGAGCTCTCTCTCTTGCCCATCGTAGTGTATATATGTCAGTCCTAATTTCCCAGTTGGCCCCACCCTTCCCTTCCTCTTCGTATCTACACGTCTGTTCTCTATGTCTGCATCTCTATTCCTGCGTTGCTATTAAGTTCATCTGTACTGTTTTTCAAGGACAAAGAAGTAGTCGCTCAGTCGTGTCCAACTCTTTGCGACCCTTTGGACTGTAGCCCGCCAGGCTCCTCTGTCCATGGGATTTTCCAGGCAAGGATATTGGAGTGGGTTTCCATTTTCCTCCCCCAGGGGATCTTCCTGATCGAGGGATTGAACCCATGTCTTCTTTGTCTCCTGCACTGAAGGCAGATTCTTTACCCCCTGAGCCACTGGGGAAGCCCAGCATGACCTCGATAGGTGGGATGGGATGGGATGGGGTGGGAGGTGGGGGGGAAGCTCAAGAGGAAAGGGACTTATGTACACCGATGGCTGATTCACATTTATGTATGGTAGAAAACAACACAATAATTATTCTTGAATTAAAAATAAATAAAAATATGTGATATATATAATATATATAATGGAATATTACTAAGCCATAGAAAGGAACAAAGTTGGTTTATGTGTAGTGATATGGATGGACCTAGAGTCTGTCATACAGAGTGAAGTAAGTCAGAAAGAGAAAAACAAATATTTTACATTATGTTTAACTGGCTAATATTAATATTCAGTAAGAAAACTTTGTTTATAAATGCATGAGAGTATAAAAGGTACTTGCTTTACCTTAAGTTTCTGTGAGGTACTATCTTTAAATAAGTTCCTTTTTAAATCAGGAATCTTGTAAACTAAATAATCAGAGAAAGTATCCCACAATTAGGAACTTTCCCCACAATTCCTGAAGTTGCAAATATAATATCTAGCTACATGGAATACAAGGAGCCCTGCCATTTCCAGTGGTCTCTGGAATTCTAAGCACCATATTGGATGTAATACTCAGCCTTGCACCTATCTCTCAGCACGGTTATTCTAAAAGGGACCTTTAAGGAGAGAAGACCTAAGGAATTGTTTTGATGATAGAGATTTTCATGTGAGAGATAAGACAGTGGAAAATATAGCCAAATGAAATATATTTAAAATTATGATCTGTTGTAGAATATGAGAAAGACCATTTTAAAGCAGCTGATGTATGATGCAAAGAAACCTGGACTTGGCATCAAAACTCTCTATTTGGAAACAGTTCTCTCATTAACAGCTCGTAAATGATGTGACTGTATGAAAGTACTTTAACCCCTCTAAGCATCAAATTCCTCTTCTGTAAAATAAAATTAAATACACAGATAGTCCTCATTATCTGAGGATAATTCACAATGGGGAAAATGCCACTTAAAATTAGTTTATTTCATAGGAATTATATTATTTTACATACATAATAATCTCTAAATGGGACTTATTGCGGAACTAAAAATATGCAAGTGGGTTTATTTTATCTAGTATCAACTACCATTATCATTATATAATATCAATTATATTTATTTTATCTAGTATTATTACATGAAGATAATGACAACTATGCAGTTATTAACACAAAGAACAAATAAACTATTGATATTTCTTAATCATAATTTTATGATGACCCTAGAAAGGGTTTATTGTTATCATGTGGGTTTCATAGTTTGGTCATAGAATCTATTATTTTAGTTACTTTTCATCAATTTTCTCAAGAGCTCCCTTTAATCTTTTGTGTACAGATTGCCTAATTTTGTGCCCCTTTCTCATGGGTACACATTCCATTTGCAGCTCGAGATGTACCAGCAAATACCCTGATGCAGTGACAGAGCACATGTTTTACTCCAGAAGGCTCATTGACTGGGGAATGGCTTTACAAGTGGTCAGTTCATCAATGGGTATTTTGATAGTATGAGGAGTTCTGCTTCCTACAGATCTTACAATTATGCTGATTCAGGTGAAGACTTAGGAGATGATGAGGACTCCTTGGACTAACCTCATGTTGGTTATATGAATGAAAATACACCATATGGAAACTACAGCATATCTGAAATATAGTAGGTGCTGGCTAAGTCTTAATATTTTTAAACTTTTATTTTGACAACTAATATTTTATATCAGTTCCTTGACCTGGCCCTGGAACAAGCCTGTAATGGGAATATAAAGTATG